CCACCCCTCACCCTTTATGGCGGAATCACGCCAGAAAGAACGTAGCAGTCGTCCACGAATGAAACATTTAATACGGTTGCTCGGATGAAGTATAAAGAATTACGGAAAAAATAAAAGCAACATTTCAGAAGATCCTTTCCTCGTCATTCCGAAATTCGATCGAGTTCCCGTTCTTCTTCTGTTCTACATGTGGTGGATGCTTTGTGGAGTTGCTAGTACAGAGGGGTCAGTAGCTCGTGTAAGAAACCAACCATTCCACTTGAAACAAATACTATTTCCCATTCAAGACTCGCGGCTCCAATAACGATCGCTATGTATAATTGGACAAACGAAGAAGCGGTTCTGTACAACGGCATCATACAAGTGATCTCATGTGGAGTGTCGACATTGGGCTACACGATTATCGGTTCGACACGAATTGGAACATGGTCAGCTCAATATCACAAGATTATAAGTTCAGGAAAACACGTACATACAGATCTTAGAGATTTGCGCGTGAACTCACATGTGTCGGCTCAGTGCTGCACCTGCTTGAGCACACCCTGAGCCATTTATTTACCTGAGTTTATCAGGCCTGGGTTATACAGAAACAATGCCGGGCTGAGGCCAGTAAGCGAGAGCGATGCCATCTCGCATGGCTTTTTCACCTGGCCAGTGGCTTTCTACCCCACAACTGAGAAGTCGCTGCTCCTACACAGTCAGTGTTACGCGCAAACTGGGTACTGTCCCCCGCTTTTTTTCAACTTATGTTTTACTCTCTATCTGTTGTTGAGAGGATAAGCGAGCATCAATAAAGTTGCTTTCCTGTTTGAGAGGAGACTAAAGAATCGTTCCAGGGATCGTCGTCTCGTCGTAGCCATGGGCCTTTTAGGGTTCTGGTATTCTCATTTTTGTCACTATCCCCTACCGTTCTACGAGGGCCCTCTAACGAGACCTCCTTTAGGCATGTTTCATTGGATTTGACCTTAATCCGATTCGTGTGCTTCAGACAGACTTCTCATTTTAGTGAATGGCACAGCATCTGTAAGTGGTGGTGGATGTCCTGTTGAGTACGAATGGTGCGACTACACCCCCAGGTAGTCTCCCTATAAGCATGCCACTACTTTGGTGTCCTCAATTGTTGGCAGGGTCCAATGGTACTATATCTCTTCAACTTCGCTATTATTCAAGGCTTCTCCTTTCCGCTAATATCAGCACCCTCGAACACACTACTGTCAGAGATAGTTGGTCCTCGGAAACAGGTACAAGTAATTCTAACCGCATGGGATTAGTATGAAGCAAGCAGTTGAAGATCATGACGAGGCCATTTTTCAGGGTGCAATTCAAGGACTATTTGCTTTCACAGGAAGTATGGCACAGTTCACCGTTCCTATATTTTCCACGTAAGAAAAATTATTATAGTTGTACGAAGAGCCCTCTCCGCAGGTCTGTAAAGTAGGCCTTCACATTCTAACTTGATTCAGGGCTTTATTTGAAACGTCTGGCTACAAATACATCATGGTGTATCATTTGGTGGCGATTACTTTGGCTGGATTGATGGTCTTTATACTGCGTGGACGACTCGTCCCACT